TATTGTCAGGGTCTTAGGTTTTAGTTATTCTAATGGGTATAATGGTATCTCATTGTTTTCATTTGTAATTCCCTAATCTTAAGCATCTTTTCATACGCTTATTTGCTAGCTGTGTATCTTTGGTGAGCTGTCTAGTTCTTTATCCAATTTTTAAATTGAGTTGTTTTCTAACTATTAAGAGTTCTCTGTATATTTTGGATTGCCAATACTTTATCAGTTATGTTTTTGCAAAGATTTCCTCCCTCTCTGTAGTTTGTCTTTTCATTCTCTTAACAGTGTCTTTCACAGAACTGAGGTTTTCAATGTTAATCAAATTCCACTTACCAATTTTTTCTTTCACAGACTGCACTGTTAATAGTTTTGTATCTAAAAAGTCATTACCAAACCCAAGGTCACCTATATCTTCTCCAATGTCATCTCATAGGAATTTTATAGTTTTGCATTTTACGTTTAGGTCATAACTTTCCAAATAAATGGGTATTTCTTACTTTTTGTTGTTGATTTCTAATCTAATTATGTTGCAATCAAAGAACTCTCTCTGTAGAACTTCAGTTCTTTAAAGTTTGTTGAATGTTGTCTTATGGCCCAGTAAAGAGTCAAATATAAATATTTTATGTGCTTTAAAAAAATTCTGCATATGCTGAAATCATCGCAGTGTCCTATATATGCCCATTACGTTAAACTGTTGTCATTAACATTTTTTACTTTTATTGATTTGATCTACTTTTCCTATAAAATACTAAGAGCTGTGTGGAAGTCTCATGCTATGACTTATGATTTATTTCTTACATTTCTGCCAACTTTTGCTTCATTTAGTTTGAGACCATATTATTGAGAGAATGTATATCTAGAATTTTTACATTTTCTTGATTAAATGAAACATCACTATGTAGGCACTCTTTTTATCCCCAGTCATACCTTTTATCTTAGAGACCATTTTATCTAATATTGATATGGCTCCATGTAGTGAATGCTGTGATGTTCTGCCCTGATCCCCCTTCAGGACTGAAGGACCTCCCTTAGGTGCTGGGAGTGCTACCAGATGACAGCCTTCACCCATCAGCCTCTACAGGAATTGTCCACAGCTGAAGGTTTCTTACTAAGGTCATTCCCCCTTTACGGGGACAACCTGCATCCTATGACTGGTGAGAGTAGGGTGATAATAGCACAGCCCCCTTGCCAATGCTTCCTTTTCTCTCCCCTCTTCTGGGACCCCACTTTCCTTGCAATCTCCATGTCTCCTCCCTCCATGCTTCTTTGTGAGTAGTATCTTCTAGCCTCATTTCCAGCTCCCCAATATCTCTTTTAACTCTTATCTAACTGGGTTTAAACTTAGTTCCATAATTTCTAGTTGGTTGTGTTTTTTAAATTCTTTATCATTTTTTGTAGTTGCTAGTTTTGTATTGCATTTTAAAATTTGCCTTTATCTCCATAAACATAGCAAAGATAATTATTTTACTATGTCTAGAGATACTTTCTCGATATTCTAGATGACTTTAGTATCTAGAGTCTCTGTTTTTTCCATATCACAATGCCATGTCTCAGAGTGTTTACTGAAACTTCAATTTGGTAATTTGCCTTTAGAAACAATTGAGAAATAAGATGATGCTAGCTTCCTCCACAGAGAGGTTTTGTTTCCTTCTGTTAGGACTTTAATGTACTAGATGCCCAGAAAACAAAGCTTTAGGTCTTTCAGGTTCATACTCTCACTCCAGAGTAGGCCCCTTGGGGACCCAATCCACAACAAAGATTATTTAGGTACTAAACTCTGACCTGGATTATTTAGCACTGCAAGTCCACCAAATAGCTCTGCCTCTCTGCTGCTTCTCAAAGCCCAGGGAAAATGCAGCAGCAATTTGAGATAGGGGATGGAGCAAAGAGGATGATGCATCTTGGTACTTCCAGAGATGGGACTCCTCATCTCTTTCCTCTCCCATCACTAGCATGAGTGAAAATCGAGCAAAGATGTCTTTGGTGTATTCTAAGATAGAGGTATCTGATTGGTGTTTCCTATTACATAGTTGTATCCTAGCTGCAAGGAATGCTGAGAAACTAAGTATCTAGCATTTTAAGGTTTTATAGAGGGTGTTGTAGGCAGAATTCTAAGATGGCCTCAGATTTCCACCCCTCCCTGGTATTACATCTGTGATTATTTTATATTGCATGGCAAAGGAATTTTGCAGGTCTAATAAAGGTCCCAAATTAGTTGATTTTGAGTTAATCATAGGGGAGATAATCCCATTAGTTTAACCTAATTATATAAGTTCTTTAAAAGCAGAGTTTTCTCCCACTGGTGGCATAAAAGGGAGTCAGAGAGATTCTGAGTGGGAAAAGGAGTCAATATATCATTGCTGCCTTGAAGAAGGAAGAAGCTCCATGGCAAGGAATACAAATGGCCTCTAGAAGCTGTGAGCAGCCCCCAGCTGACAGCCAGCAAGCAAGTAGGTTCCCCTGTTCTACAACCAAAATGAAGTGAATTCTGCCAGTAACAGAAATGAGCTTGAAAGAAGACACCAGGCTCCAGATGAGAAAGCCGTCCCCAAACACTTTGATTTCAGCCTTTTGAGATTCCAAGCAGAGAACCCAGCCAAGCCGTCCTGAACTTCTGACTAACAGAACAGTGAGATAATAAATGGGTGTTATTTTAAGCCACTAAAGCCACTAAGTTTGTGGTAATTTGTTACACTGCAACAGAAAACTAACATAGGAGTCATTCTCTGTCTTTTGCCAAGATTCACAAGGTAGAGAAATTTCATAAGCACAAAGGTTCAGATACTAGGTGACCAAAATTAGTAAGATATGCTCCAGGGGACAAACAGCAGTAAGGGAACTGTGCACTATTTAAGCTACTCAGTCCTGCATTTTTGTGGCAACTATGAGAAGCAACAGCATGGCCCATCTTTTAAACATGTTCCGGTTTTCTAGCGCAGCTGATGCTAGTATGTATCCAAAAAGAAAAGGTTAGTCCCCTGCAATGTTAGCTACAGGTACCTTTTAAGTAGAATTCTGATTTGACCAAAAATCCAGGAACTGTATGCTTAACTGTAAACAATCTAGAGTAAATTAAATCACACCAACACAAAAAGGCAAGTATATACAAAATCTTTATAAATTTACATATTTTGCCCAAAGTGTACAAGCAGTCTCAATTTATTGGGACAAAAATGAATATTTTTGTTCTTCACAAATGAAGTCACTATACAATTCAGAGAAGGTGTTCACAGCAACTGAACTACATTTGAAAAAAATACTGTCATGTTAAAAACAACACGGTTGAAATTAAACATTGTGAATGTGTTAAATACCTGCCTGCCGTATAACAACAAACACTTTAATAACGATATTGATCTGCTTGCTAAATAAGGCTTCCATTTATATGATGTGTATATTTCCAAAGCTGTTTAACATCTCTACTTATAAATTAATTCACAGGATTCACATAATTGCTTTTTAGCTTCAACTGGGTATTAGCAAAAATAATATAAAATTATTCCCTTGCAAGCAACAAATTTACCTTCCTTCCTAAATAAAATATGACATTAGATTAAATTACGACTTATTACCCTCTCCTCTAAAACGTCTGTGACGTTATTAAAGAGGAGACAGACTTCTTGTTTTGCAAACCCCTTTCTGTGGTCCACTGCTATTACTTCATTAACATACTTGCCCAGACCTCCAGGAACTCAGGGCCAGGAATGTCTTTTTACAACCAAAAATATGCACTGGTCAAGAGAGCAATCCACAACCCGAAGGTGAGGAGCCCCCAGGGACACCACACTGGCTGGCTGCTGAGGCGGCAGTGTGCTGAGTGTGGGAGCCAGAGCACCGGCTTCTGCGACGTCACGACTGGGGTAACCAGTTAGCAGATGGTAGTGGGACGTGTCCTACATAGATCTGAGTCTTTCAGTGTTGCCAGGTTTTACCCCTTTGTCAAAGAGAATGCAGTAGAGAAGGCATGTAGCTGCCAGTAAAAATCATTTCTCCCCTCTCAGTCTTCCAAACCCTCATTAGCTCCATGAAACCGACTATTAAAACAATTTTTCTCTCTCCTTGCACTAGTGGAAGAAATAAAGATCTACAGAAACTCACAGTTAAGACTGAGACCCCACATACAGCAAGTACGACCTTTAGTGAAAACATTATAAAATGGATTCCCACTAAGGTCAAAAGGTTTCAATTAGGTACCATGTTGGTTTCTTGATACCCTTTAAGGCCTAATTTTCCCTTCCTTGAGATTGTTACAGTGTTCCAGCTAATTTCCTATTTGGAAGCTGGAGTAGGAACAGCTGAAAATCATGCATTATTGAAGGCAAAGCTGCCTCACGTCAGTTTTTTATCAGCTCATTTGGGAATATTACAAAAAGTAGGTCCCCTGTGCTATGCTCAGGATTTTCTCAAACATGCGAACCACCTAAATTTTATGTTATTTAAAGTAGCTTATGTTTATTAGGCTATACTTATCTAAGACCAATATGGGGTGAGATGGATTAAAAAAAAAATCCTTTAAGTAAGGCTCCTTACCATCTAATGAGGAAAAAGGTGGCAAAAATTCAAGTGTCAATGTCCCTTTCCCGGGAAGAGGTTTAGAAAAACATAACCGCTCACCTTCTGAACTCTACCAGTTCCTTTAGAAATTAACAAAGCATTAGAATCAAGTGTAAAACATAAGAAGTAGGAAAAATATTTATAAAACTGAACATTCCTTAAAGACATAAAACCTTGCTAATACTGGGAGAGCCATAGAAAAGGAGATGTTTAAGGAGAAATAGTAGCCTTAGTGAAGTGAGGATAGAGAACACCAGGATACAGACTCTTATATACATTTTTTACGCCACAACATGGTGAAACTTGGAGCTGAGACTGCCTGATCCCTGAAGTGGACCACTCAGCGATCTGTGTACCTAAAGGAATCTGCAAGGGAGTGGTCACACAAAAACTGAACTGTATCCAGTAGCTGTTCTCCTGAGAGAACAGAACAACCTGGCAAGCTTAAAGGCGAGTGTTTTCATTCTTTTAATTAAATAGGCTGTGACAAAATTAACAATAAAACCAGCCCAGAACCAACCAGCCCACCAGATGTAGTGCAAATCTCGCAGTAACAAAAGGCTGTCTGAGAGGCTACACGTTGGTCTCCAGTCCTAGCAAGCGTCCCATTCTCTCCACATTCTTATCAATTGTAGCTTGGCACGTTATCTCCTTGGCACATTCCATAGGAAACCAGCCCCTTTCTCCATCTCTCAGTCGTTCCCCCTCATACCATCCTGCAAAAACAAAGACAGTCTACATCAAGCAACGAGTATTTGGAGGAATCTTTACTGTGCCAGACTCCAGGGAGGATATGGGAAAAGTTGAGAGGCAGCATCGAGGGTGCCATGGATAATATAAGGTGAGGAGAGAAATGGGACAGAGAGAGGTTTCAAGGGGGAAGGAATGACATACCAGGGACAGAACATGAGCAGAGGGGCCTGACAAGAGGAGCCTGAGAGAGTATATGAGCTTGGGCTGAGCTGGGGAAGGGGATCCTTTGGGTAAGGGCAGCAGGGAAAAAATTTACTTTTTGAAAGAACAAGGCCACTGGAAGACTAGGAAGGAAAGAAAACCTCACGGTTCTCTTTTGAATAACAAACTATGTGGTTCTCTTTTGAATAACAAACCATGTGACTGCGTGCATATTCAAAAATAAAAGTGTAGATACATGATAAAGTAAAGACAGACAAGAGGCAGGTGCATATGAGAAGGCCAAAGGGAAGGCACACAAGGAGAAGAGGCTGATGAGAACAGTTTGCAATTCAAAGTCCCCAAAACGCCTCTCTAAGTCATCTTTGGCTTCTGAGAAGCCACCGATTTAGGAAATGAAGTCTTTGGAAAGAGAGAAAGGAATAAGAACAGAAAAGCAGCAAAATTCACCTTAGAGATGAGAAATCAGTTCATGTGACCACAAACATTAATGCATCAGAATTTGGTACACAGGCGTTAATGACAAAATGAGACTCTTCAGGTCTATGGCATCCTGAATCCTGGACCATGAGTGTCCCAGGAGAACGCTCCCACTCACCATCGCTGACACGCTGATAAATGAGGACCACGTCCGCCACCTGCAGGGAGAGTTCATCTGGCTGCTTGGCAGTAAAAGACCTAATGATTTCTACCTGGGTCAGTGCTGCAACGGAAAAAGGACATAGTAAGTTTCCAGTAGCAAAGGAAAAACAAAACATGTATAAACCAATAATGTACATTTACTCAGCCTTTCTGTGCAATTCAGGGCTGACATTCAAAGAAACAAGTTGGGATTCTATCAAGAAACAGAAAATCTTTCTAAGAACTCTCTTACTTGGTTACTTTTCTAGGAATGCTCTTACTTGGAACTCTCTCAGATTTGAGAGGCCTTTTATGATGCTTGAATTCCCTCAATAACAGCCTTGACCAGGCATCATTAGCCATGTCACACAATGGAACAGAAAACAGCCACCATGCTTTAGGGGAACTGAAGCAAAAAAAGTCAGTGATGTGCCAAGGCTGTGCAACTGGTAACAAAATCTGCAGCAGACCCAGTTCTCTTGCCTCTCATCTGGGATGCTTCTTCATCCCAATAGCAGTGCTTGAAAGCTGCTGAAGAGGGTGAGCAATAAAAGGAGATCCAACCAAATGCTTAAAAGAAATATTAGCGTTCTCCCAAAATGCTAATGCCTGATTTCTTACTTCGTTTGTTTTTTAAAATAAAACTTGATTCTAGGGACCTTTCAAACAGATCCCTTTGGCTTTGACTCTAAGCTTAAAAGGTATGATTTTTGAGCGCTCCAGGATAATCAGTTTTGCTGCCCTAATTCTTTGGATTTGACCTTCCAAATAGAATCACCCAAAGAAGCATAACAGTAAAGTTAGGGAGCTAAAAAGCACCTGATACCACCCTTTACTGCACCCATTCCTGGTTCTCTAGAAGAATAAAATACATTTTCTTAAAAGGTCAAAAAGAACGGTTAAGTAACTTTCTTTTAGGTTAAAAATACTTTTCAGCTTAGATTCAGACTGACATTACAGAGAAAGCTTAAACATGCAACGACTGCCCATTAATAAATTACAGGTAAAAATTTAAGAGTTTTACAGTTCAAGTAGGGCTTTTAACATATCTTATTTAACTTAATCTTCACAATAATTCTGTGTTGCAACTCACTTGCAGGTGATTAAACAGGCTTGGGAAGGCTAAGCAATGATTTTCCATGTTTACACAACAAAGAACTGCAGCTTGTGTTTGAATTCAGACCCCCTGACTTCCAAAGCAGGGATCACACAGTTCTAGCACAAGGCAGAAGGAAGGAAACCTTGGAGTTTAACTTAAAAACCAAGTATTGCGGTTGTGTAACGCGTTAATAACCGAGCTTCCAGCAGGGGGCAGAGTCCCTCCATGCTCCAGAGCAGGCGTCCCCTCAAGAGAACTTACAGGTTCGGTCTGTAGTCTGCTTCCCGCTGCTGTGTCCCAGGGCGGTTATCCAGCGGGCTCGCTCACTCCTAAACACAAAGGGCAGACCCAACTGAGAGATTCCAGGTGTTTAGACACAGAATGGAGAATGTTCTAGACAGCCAGTGCAAAGCCATTCCCGGAAACCAGGAGAAATTCTCCAGAGAGTTATGGGGCTGGCCTTCGAAAGAGTTATTTAAAAATGATAATCTGGGAAATCTAAAATAGGCAGAATGAATCTTTTGTCATATGACAGTTTAAAATTTAATAAAAAGCTAATTACACTAACACACTATAACCACAAAAAATATTTAGCACACTCGTATTCTGATGTTTAACATTTCAAAAAGGTAAATTTCATCTAAAAAAAATCCTACCTAAAGCAATTTCCCTGCTGTCTCCCCTACTCTTCCCACACACTCAAACCATTTTGGATGAGAAACTTGACATGTTTAAAGCTATCTCATCTCTCATACAACCAATTTTGCCAAATATGACCTTATTGAAACAGAAATTCTTTGACCATTTTTAGACTGTTCTCAAATGTTAAAAATGGTTTAATCAGTACAGGGAAAAAATTAAAGAAAAACCAAGGCTTTTTATACAATACTAAGCTATTTACATGAAATAAAATAATTAAAGGATCAAAAGTTTCAGATACGAAGCACTGCTCTACAACATAGCCCAGTATTTTATCGAGAATCAAGTATTGGGATTGCAATTAATTAAATAAACCACATACACACACTTTTAAACCTCTTAAGGAGCATTCCTTAAACCCACACTACATGTCAGACACGGCTTGACACCCATTGTTCCACGTAATCCTCCCAAAAGCCTGTTTGAAGGACGTGAAGACAGAAGTTCCGAGGTAAGCGATTGGAACCGAGGCCAGTTTCCACTCCGCCACTCCACCTTCTTAAGAAAAATACCTCTATGCCAACACTTGAAAAAAATCTCCTCTCTCATAGCAGCCTGCATCTAAGACACTCGTCACTGTCACCCCATCTTCTCCCCACGTCGTCCCTCCATCCAAGCAGGGTGGGCGGCACCCTGGGCCACAGCCTTTCCTGTCCCTTCCCTCTGTTTCTACTCAGCTACGCCTCTTCATTTTTGCCATTCATTTTTTAAAATTAGCACCGTACATAAAATAATCTGTGTGAATTGTAAGTGCCTCCAGGCCTGCGTTACTTACATACACCCACGGACACACACTGCCACGTCAAGATACAGACGCTCCAGGCAGTTTCCTTGTGTCCCTTTCCAATAAATAATCTCTGTCCCAAGTTAACTGCTATTCTGATTTCCATGACAGTGAATTAATCTTGCCTCTTGTACTTTAAGAAAATAAAATCCTATAGCATATGTGCTTTCGTATTTGGCTGCTTTTGCTCAACGTGTCCACTCAATACTGAAAACCCAAGTCTGACCTCCTTCAGGTGGCCTCTGATACGTAAGCCCACCTTCCATCCCCACCCCACTCTGATGCTCCTGGTCCCAGGCACCCCTCTGCACAGCTCTGTCACACTGCTGGGCTACAGCGAGCCTCGTCCAGGCCGGCATCTTCTCTATCTGGTTCTCCGCATTATCTCCAGAACACACCTGACACATAACAGGGCCCAGTACACGTCTGCCAACAATGAATCATATCACTCACTGCACACTGAACCCCGATCATTTATTGACTTGTCTGCTTCTCTTACCAGGCCATAAACTCTGGGAGGGCAGGAATTAGATCTTGTTCTAAACAGTATCATGAAGCACTTATGTGTCAGGTATAGTATTAAGTAATTTGCAAGTATCATCTAATCTAATCTTTACAACAATCTTGGAGACAAAATATTACCATTGTTATTTCCATGTTTTTCAAAGGATGAAGCAAGTTTGGAGTGTTAAGTAGTGTTTCCTAGGAGGCGCTTACAAAATAATGGGAGAAGGCAGAACGGGTGAAAACCATGGCATCCTGAAAGACACACATTTTGAAGGAAAAAAGGAGACCGGGCCCTGGTTAAGCTGGTGTGTGAAACAGTAATACGCACAAGCTACACAGAAACTGATGACGTTGTCTTGCTTCTTAAAACTCTGTCTCTCTTTAATACAGGATAAAGGGCTTTATAATGGTTTTATAGGAAATGAGTAAAGCACAATTTCCTTTAAAATAATCCCCATGCAAACACAAATCTTTGATGACATCTCTTTGTTGGGATAAATCCATTTTTTACTCAGGTTCAACTGGAATTTCCAAAGTGCTAAGCCAACTGAGAACTAAATACCTTATGGACGGAGGGGTTGCTCACCAAGAGAAATCTAAAATGACTGGTTTGTGTCTCTACATGCCATACTCAGACTTGGATTACCACTGCCATCTTTACACGGCCCACGCTGCTGTCTTCCTGGAGCGTGTTGGAGCCATGTGGAACCAGCGAAGCAGATCTTCTTGCACATATGACTTTCTCAGCAAGGCCCTTCTCTGGCACCGAGTGGCCAGTTTCAGCAGCGGCTTCACCCTTCCGCCAGTTTCCAGAAGTCCAGATGAAATCTTTCACTCCCGTGGCATGCTGCCTGGATACTAATGGCATCCCTTAGACACGGCGGCCCCTCGCAGGGACTCCGGAGGATAGAACAAGACACTCCTTGTTGCCCTCACTGAAAGGAGCCGCTGCTTGAAACTGCTTCAATTGAGTCAGTCCCACCCCCTCTTAGATGCTGTCAAAACCGCAGGACTTCCCCTGGGGCTTCCAAGAGCCCTGCCAAGAAGATCCCCCTACTATGGAGCAGAAAGCACTACATCTCTAAGGCAGAGACCAGACTCACTTGTAAGACAGAATTACAAGGTCAAGAAAAACCAGGGCATAGACTTACCCATTATTAAATTTAGATATCAAGTCCAGGGTTTACTCACAGACATCTATTTTCTCCAGGAATGATGTGAAACAATCGAGATGAATTCACAGTCTACTGCACACCCAGTTCATGAACTTTTCCCTTTGCCCAAAGTGACACAATAACCAGGGCTGCACTAATGTCGACCTGAAGCGTATCACCTTCCAAGGCTCACTTGACCACTCCTTCCGTCAACCAACGCTCACTCTGCACAGGCTCTGTGCCAGGCCGGGGGTGCAAAGTGAATACAGTGGAGTCCCGTGCTCTCCGCCGCCCTCAACATGAAGAAGACAGAGAGGAAAACACACACAAAAGCCAATACAGCGTGCAGTGTGCTGAGATGGATCACTCTACTAAAATACACCTGACCCAGGTAGAGAAAAAAGACTAAGTGAGAAAAGACTGTTTTAACTTAACTAATCTATAAATGCAGTCCTTCCAAAATCCCCAAATTCTCTATGCATGGGGTGAAATGATGTCTCGACAGTTGCCTACTCAGTTAGCTGTGGTAGCATCTTGTCCTGCCTCTCATATAATTAAGCACAATAGGTTTAAACGTATTTGCAGAAAGATACAGCAAAGTTCAACTTTTCCTTGAATCCAGAGATCTGCTAGAAAAGATCAGTAATAAACTGAGAAAGTAGAAAGTAGGCTTTGAAATAACACGGAGGCAGGACTGCAAATGAGACTGCACAGAATAGGACTCCCACTGAGGACTTCATCGCTGATAGGGTTTTCCTGATTTCTCAATAGAAGTGCAGAGACCTTAGGTGCTCTTTAACCTTCCTTTTATCTCTCCTAAAATGGCATTTGACCAGTTACCTTTTGTGCTCCTTCTCACAGCCTACCAATTTACCTGTGGTTCCTCTTGAAACTTCTATACTCATGGCCTTTGAAAAAAGTCCCTCAAGCCTCCACAAGGAGTGGGATTGGGAAGATGGGTAGTTCTTGTTCCTTCCCTCACACATTCAATTCAACTCGATTAGTTAAAAAAAACTGATCCATGAAAGAAAACCTACAGCATAACAAAAAAAGTCATTATAAATGCTGAGACAAGGCTTTAGAAAACTGGATACCAGCTCAACTTAACTAATTTAAAAAATCCAACCAAAGAAAAGCAATCTCCCTAAGCCCACTAAAAGAGTTCTAAAATGTAGCATTTTGTGACATGTTGTATAGTTTAAATTCATTATGTCTTATTTATCATATTAAGTAGCTCAGACCTAGAGTCTAGTCCAGAATCCTTCGGTTAATCTTTAGTGTGGTCAATTATCTGTTTTCTCGCCGACAAAAGACTGATCCTATCACCTCCCTCCTGTCCTGTGGGGGTCCGTGATGAGAATCACATAAGATCAAGTATTTTCATAAGCACTCTACAAACGTAAAAGGTCACTATTGGATTTAGAGTCCAGATTCGACAAGGAAAAAACTCTGTAACCTGCAATAAATATATTTTTTCATGTAAACTCTCCTCTTTATATTGCGATTTTTCTTAAAGGATGAAATTTATGACTATGTCAGAAATACTATTTACAATTTTATTCCATCCCATTTATTCTTGTTAATTAAATCATTAACAGAAGCAGGAAGAGCTCAAAGGCTCCCTGCAAACAATGCCCCTTTATCAGGAGGCCTAGGAACTGGCTGTCTGGGTAGTTGACAGCACCAACCACACTCATTAGGCTTCTAGCTCTCTTTGTGAGAAGAAATTTTGAGAAGCATCTTTGATTATGGTTTAAGATGATCATATCCTATAACTAAATACAATGGGTGAAGAAAATTCACATTCACTGAACACGTCCTAGATGCCTCATCACAGTATACACTGGACCCAAATGACATCCAAATTCTATTGCAAGTGCAGGAAGCCAAGGATGCCACTTGCCACAGCCTGTCGCCTGAGCCAGCTGCAGCTGTCTGGGCTTCATTTTAATGAAGGCAGACAAAGGGGTCTCTTGGGCTCCCACATTCCTCTTGAAAGGCCCAGAGGGAAAAAAGAATGACAGTGTAAAACATTCTTCCTTTGTCCTTTTATAAAGAGTAAGCTTTTGTATTTTTCAGACTATTGTCTCATCAACAATACAATGACTTAGGGTCTGTGGGACAAACAGATTTAACGGTATACGCAATTTAGATGTATGTCGGAAAAAGCATTTGACCACATACC